TTTCTTTTTTAACATTTTTGGAAGAATTTCATACATATGTACTGTTTCTATATCATTCCCAACTACCCTCTACGCCCTCCATCTCCTCCCATGCTCCACTCCCTTTCGAAATCATGATTTCTGCTTTATTACCATTACATACACATGAATTTAGATAGATGATTGATAGATGGATGGATAGATAGATAGATAGATAGATATACATAGATAGATAGATAGATAGATAGATATACATAGATAGATAGCTAGAAATACAGCCCACTGAGCTGTTTAGTGTGGCCATATTTATTTGTATTTAGGGATGACCACTTGGGATTGGGTAGCCTGCCAGGGGGCTAACCTCTGGAAAAGACTGGCTCTCCTTCTTTCAGTAGTCATTAACTGCCTGTAGCTCTTCATCTAGGGATGAGGCTTTGTGAGATTTCCCCATCCATGTTGTGATATCAACTGGTATTGTTTTTCAAGTCCTATTTGGGGATTTCTTTTTAAATGAAGCAATCCCCTCCTCCTCCTAAACATCATGTAATTTAATTCATGAGAGCTGTTACACAAGGCCGTGTTTGTGTGTCTGTTGCTGCTAACCTGTCAAATCCATACTCCCCAAATACATCAAAGTGTGTGTGACCCTTGACCGGCATCTCCCCATTTTCCTGCCCCTGTCCTGGCAGCTGGCCTCCAGCTCTCTGCTCTTATGAGTTCAACATTTTAAGATTCATGGAGTATTTATTATTCTGTTTGGCTTATTTCATTTAGCACAAAGTCCTCCAGTTTCATCCATTTTACCACAAATGGGGATTTCTTTTACCTTACAGCTGAGAAATAGTCCATTCAAAGGATGAACCACAATTTCTATATCTACTCATCCACCAGTGGGAACTTCCACTGCTTTGGTACCTCAACTACTGTGAACAATGCAATGCAGGTCACCATAAATAAACTTTAGTGCAGCTGTTCAAGGGAATACTTCACACAAATCTTAAAAAGAAAGAAGTATAATTTTATATTGACAGGCCTAAAGTAATGTCCTATGAGAAAAAAGCAGGAGGAAATGCAAACTACAACGTAGAAATCATAAAAAGATTCATTTATTTCATGCCTACATGTATACACACACAGAGACAGACATATGTAACTATGAATCTATACACATATAATCTTCTGTAGATAGAGGACATCCAAGATCATTACATACTAACTTGTGACAATGATTGCCCCTGATTGACAGGACTCTGCCTGGGAGCTGAGGTGGAAAGAGGCCTTTCACAGTTGCATCATGTATGCAGAAATGCATAGTCCCACCTATTCCTTTGTTGCTCCAATTACAAACACCTACAAAGACATTCCTTTGAAAAGTTACTAGACCCTCTTCCCTTGTCAGACCTTCCAATATCCTAACCACTCTCACTGGTAAATATTAACCAAACACTTCAACACTTCACAAACATATGATTGGGACACACACACACACACAGTGCCTTATTATTTTCCTCATTGATGCCTCACTTAGAAGACTTGAGCTTGTTGAATCTCTTTCTACATGTGAACATGTCTTTGGGAAGATCCTCTCCTAAAGTGCATGCATGATCTCATTAACAGAAAAGAAAGAAAACCATCACGATTAAATTCAGTTACACTCGCCTGTCTGTCTTCTATTAAAGAAGTCTGGTGTGAATCAATAGAGGGTCTGCCTTCAAATCTCCCAAGAATTTCTGTGGTCTCTGAAATGTATCAAGCCCTGATCATAACTGCATACTCAATATTGTCCTAACAATTTAGAAAATCTGCCTTTTCTGGGAGTTCCTACAAAAATGTGAAAGCTGATAAAGTACAAGCCACATTTATAGAGGACAACATCCCGTTTTACAAGTGCTAGACCAAGCATGGACAAAAAAGATTGCATTTAATTATCACAATATCCTGGGTTGAGAACCCAGAACTCAGAGTCGGGGGTTTTCACTTAGAGGCTTAAGTAGTGAGGAGAGTTCTAAGGACCAGCATGGAGCAGGGAGAAGGCTTCAGGAATGCAGCCATGCAGGGGCCTCTGCTTATGCCTGAGCAGCTTTTAGCTAGCCTTGAGGTGAGATGGGCCTTACCCAGGGATGCAAGATTACCTCGGGAAGCAGGCATGATCTGGGCTAGGAAATCTTCATGGGCTGAGGGCATATTCCTTTGCCCAACTCCCAGAAACTGAAGGCAAGAAAGCCCACCTTAAAAGGCCGATATTGTGATGTACCACAGTGTCCCTACCTTCACAATTCTAACATCCAAATCCTAAAACAAGGACATGGCCACTGGGAGAAACTGAATTACTAAATCAAGGTAACCCAGAGGTACAGAACTTGATTCCCAAGGATCCTCACACCTCCTGGCCATGTCAACTTCCCAAACTGAATGTCCACTTGGGGAGTCAAATTCAAGTACCATATATCACTTTTAACACCTGAATTTCACTTACCCATGGAAAAGGAGAGGAGAAAGGCACTCTTGAATCTAACCTTAAAAAGAAACTATCAACAGAAAACATCTGCTGTAAACACTGAAGAAAAATGTCCCTGATAATCAAGGTTCCATTGCTTTGTAATTACCAGCTACCTGTGCCCTGCACAGACACCTCTACTCTTTTTGATGAGTTTGATTCCAAATGCATGCTCTAAAAAACAAGCCAAAGCTATTCTACTCCGTTTCCACTCTCCATGTCCGATAATAAACTACCAAAAATAGAAGCATCACAGCATAAACTGGATGAGAGAAGGCACATTCTGGCTTATAGAGGAAGAAAATAAAACAGGATGGGGGGAAACGAAAGAATCTGCTTAGCGTACAATGCTTCCAATCAAGGGATGATGGGCATCCAATCTTGGATCCATCAGTTACCCTGTAACCTGGAAACCCTGGCCATGTTCTTGAAGCCTGTGTGCTAAGTGTGTATAGATTCCCCATAGAATCATGAAAATGAGAAAGGTCATGATGTAAACACTCAGTGTTTAGCATTGTCCACATACAAAGTGAGACAATCAGTAGATCACTGGTTGTCTCAGGGTTACTGTCTGGGATGCTGTTACAATCAGCAGCATACCCAATCCCACTAATATGGTACAAAGAGTTGGCAGGATGTGGGCAGAGTTTTCCTGAACTTTCTGCAAAGCAGGTTGGCTTATAAATGCCTCTGCTTTCTTATTTTTAAAAACATGCTTTAAAATGGAAAGTCCTCCCCCAAATTATCTTCTCTTGTATGTCATGACCTCCATGGTGGCCCCCAAGAAGACCCAAGCTCTTGCTCATTACCAGTGTATAAACCTCAAACACACTTTAAGAGTATCCTCACTTTCCACTCCACATTCTGAAGCTCAGTAAAGCTGCATGGCCTGCTATCTTCAGGAGTTAAGAATGGGGAGGGACTGCATTGATGCTTCCTGATCTGCTGGGGAAGGTAAGGTTCCTGGATCTGCTGGCCCACAGAGTTCACCTTAGCAACGTTAAATTGACGCACGAGCCTTCGAAGCATTGCAAGCCCTGGGGTTTCTGTGTGTGGAGAAGTCGTGACAGCATTAGCAATGGCCCTGGGGAGAACAGTGCTGCTGTGTGGGCCTCAAGCAATCCATCCCATACTCCTCATCCAGGGAACTTTGTCAAGAATGCTGATTCTGCTAACTCAGATTCTTTGGAATGACAGAAGCTTCATGCTTACTCAGGTTTCAAATCATTATGTTTCAACCAAACTCTGAGGTCTTTCTCTGGGATGCTCCAATGGCCTTGCTCAAAGTAAAGAGACATGCTTTCCTATATAGTGCTGGCAATCACTACTTCATTACTATACCCATCTAACTCCTGACATTTGCCCCTACATTCCTCAAATTTTCACTTAATAGTTAATGAATACTTTGATTAATGTTGGAAATTTATATCCTATGAACGTCCCTGGAGATAATTATTTTCATTCAACAAACTACGATCTGCCCATTCTGTGTAGATATGTGAGGGACTAAGAAACAGAAGCTAAAGCCAATCTTGCAAGACCTCACTGTAGGCCCTCCATCTGTCTTGGCTGAAAAGCTCCAGAAAAAATCTGTATTTCCTACTGCCTGCATCTCTAAGACATCTGTAGTCCAGACATGTCTCAAAGGATGACATCCCATCTCTGTCCTCTGCAACAGTATTCTTATGTCCAACACCAACCCCACCTCTGGTATCACATCCTCTCTATCCAGTATGACATTCCTCAGCTGATTAGGAAGGATTAATTCCTTTCCTGGATCCATAGAGATAATTCTATAGCCTAATGTTTACAAAGTTTGGGGCATTTTGAGGGGGGGACCTCTATCCTCAATGACTTGTAACCAATTCCCTGACCTCAATAAATCCTGGGGGATTTATGAACATCTTGCCAGTGTCTGTACACAAGGGGGAAAAACACCTTTTTGGGGAAAGGGGTAAACTCCAATGTAGAAAGCAAATGCACACCACAGTCCACTGGATTACTCAAAATTAACATGCATCAGAATGATTGAAACCACATAATGACAAGGTGGAGAGTTACAGAGCAGCACCTGTTCTCTGTTTTCAGTTAGCACAAGAGATGGGAATAAGCAAAGGTCCACATCAGGCCTGTGTTGTCTTCAAGGCCAAGGCCAGAAGCTCTAGAACAAACCAAGAATAGGCGCATCAACTGTTTTAGCTATCCGGGATGAATCAGGAAGGTGAGGCCTGACTGGATTTGTATATCTCTTTTACTGTCATTTATAAGAAATACTTGTCTCTTTCTGTTTCTGTTTCTTTCTGTTTCTTTTCATTTATAAAAATTTCCCACCGCCTCCCATAAACAACATCCTACCCCAGCTTTTTCCTTCTCCCTCCATCAGTACCCCATCACAGGGGCACAACCCAGTTGCTCATGCAGTAGGCCAGCTTGAGTATGATAGGTCCGGGGATTCCCTGTCTCCATGTGAATGGAATTCCTCCATTTGGTTGCCATGACACCATGGATTAAGGGATCTCTGGCCTTCTTACCACATAGAATCCTTCCTTCTACATCCTTCACTGCAAGTCAGGAAAGCAACGTTTCTGCAAGACAAGCTGATCACAGTGCTGGCCAAACCTTCTATCCTGAACACTGTCCTAAAAGACCCGATGGTCTCAACAGGTGAGATCACAAACATGGACTTTTAAACTATGTCAGAAGGTGTGTGGGCTAGATAGTTCAGCAGAATGGAAATGTGCTGGCCACCAAGCCTGATAACAAGTTCGACTGAGTTTGATCCCTGGAACCCACATAGTAGAAGATAATCACTCCCACACGTTGTCCTCTGACCGCTACAGGTGTGTGATGGTATGCACATGCACACACCACCCCTCACACACAGAGAGAAGAATGAATGAATGAATGAATGAATGATAAATAGATGTAAAAATTTGTGTCTGAAGAACACATCCAGTGCTCTTTTTCATAAAAGAATTATTAAGTGTGGCCAACAAAAGGGAACCACCAGCATAGCCCTTCTGGTGCTCAAGGTGCAGTCATGGGTCAACAGTGCCCATCTGGACCATGGTTCGGAGAGAAAGGATCTACTGACCACTCCTCCCCTGGCTGAACTCAATATTCCCATGATGCTGAATAAAGCAGAGGAGATGTGAGCTGTAGGAATGACTTGTCTTTGTATACTAACAGGAGGCTCCTGACACCCCTAAAGTCATCTCTCTGGATTAATAACCAATGAAGGTCTGGCTTTGACAGATGAGGCACCCAGGTGAGATGGTAAGAGATTTGAGTCTTGAGTGTAATGCTAGTCCTGCCTCCAGTCTATGCCCTGGACAGAACACTTCTCATGAAGTGACTTCTGCATCTGAACAGTGTGGTACTCTGAACAAAAACAGTCCTCAGGCCTTTTTAAAAGTGACATTATTCACCACTTACAGGGACCTCTCTGAGTGGTGCAGGGTAAATTACAGCTACTGAAAATTGAATTCTCAAAACATGCCTCCCACTCTTGCCCGGAGAAGTCCCAGACAAGTGCTTTACCCCAAAACAGACAGCTCACCCCCATCCACCCTAAGTGAGGGATGTGTGTAAGGGCACAGGTGTATATGTAAGGGCACACTGATAGGGGAGAAATGAGATTCCACATCCACCCTAAGTCAGTTGTGCGTAAGGGCACCCTGGCACATGGAGGACTGAGAGTCCACATTCAGAATCAGAGCTAACCTCTCACCACAGCTGCCCTTCCTCCAATGCCTCGCTTTCAGAAGATGAGGCCTTCCTTTGTCCACACCAGGCCAAGGCACCACACGTCAGCATACCCTAAAACTGCAGCATGCAAGACTGGGGCTGGCTTGTCCCGTCAAGCACTTGACATGGAAGCAAGAAAACCTGAACTGGATCTCCAGCACCCACATAAAAAGTGAGGCTCAGGCGCATGTGCCTGAAATCCCAGTGCTACAGAAGCAAAGACCAGCAGATCCCCGGAGCTCGCTGAACAGTCGGGCTAGCTGGGTCGGAAGGCCCCAGGATCAGTAAGGGACTGAAAATTAAGGCAGAGAATTGAAGAAGAAACCTGATATCAACTACGAGCCTCCAAATGTGTGTACACACATGTGCACATGTACCTTCACACACATGAACACACACACACACACACACACACACACACACACACACACACACACACACACTGCTCAAAGGAAAAGACTGATGATGCCACTGAGGCTCTTCTCCCTGACTGGCTGATGTCATGACTGTGTGTGTGGTGTGTGCTGGAAACTGCAGACTTCAAATCAGTCCACACACCCTTGCTTCCTGTCAGCCTCATCCTGGAGGTCCGGGCCTGGAAATCTTTTCCCCAGGCCTCATGTTTATGTTCTCTGTTTGTTCAGTGTCCAGATCATCAGCACATGATGCTTAGCTCAAATGGGAAGGATGCAAGGGTGATCAGTTGGAAGGATCCTGACTCACAGGTGTGAATGTCCTGTGGTGAAGATTGACTAATCATAACAGGCTCCTCGGATAAAACAGGGTGCTGCAATAAATAACCACTATGGTAATGGAAGTCTGAAGGGTGATTTCTAAACTAAGACATCCTGAACACTGAGAGGATAAGGTGCTCCAAGAACAAAGAATGTGTGCAAAGGCCCTGAGGCAGGAATGACTGACAGACATAATTCAAGGCAGATCTGGTCTGCATGAAGAGCCAGATACATAGCAAATGGTTATTTCCATAGAAGTTAGAAGGGGTAGAGACGTCAACACGGGCAGAGAAAGAGCCCTGAAGACCACATCAGCAGAGCTGTCAGCAAGACTTCCAGGAGAAGGGGTATTTGAGCTAAACTGTAAAACTTAGGTAGATTCCACAGAGGCCGGAGAAAGGAGCCTGGTGTGTAGGGACCACATGGCTTTCTTAGAAATGTGCCTGTTCACCTGCCTGGAGCTTCAGGTAGGAGGAGCGGCTAATGGAAAGTGAATAAGGGCTGGACTATGAAGGCACTCTTACTAAAGAAGGAAAATCAGGGAGCCAGTTTCCCCCAAGTAGGAAGAACAAGGAAGCACTAAGTGGACCAGGAGCCATTTTTCTGTATTTTGTTTTATGTACATAGGTGTTTTGCTTACATATATGCCTGTGCACCAGGTGCATGCCCGGTGCCTATGGAAGCCATAAGATCACACAAGCTGCCCTGGTGATTCCTGTCACTGCATATCAAGGCCATGCTACTGAGGGCTGGCTACCTCACTGTAACTCTCAGGAATGGGCTGGAAGCCCGGACTGTGGACCAGCAGGTAACCAAGGATGTGTCAGAATCCCACCTACATTCAATAGCTGGGAAAGGCAGTCATGGAGGGGATTTGAGAGAGGAGAGGAGAGAGAGGGAGCAGGGGAAATCTGGGAATGAAGCACACGCCATTGGCATGGGCAAGCTCTGGGCTGCACTGGCATTTTCCTCCAAGAATCAAATAGAATCCCTGCTTCTGTGCTCCTGCCACAGTGAACAGTGACGTGGAGCACATCACATGCTGCTGTGAGCTGCCCACAGCCGGCTGGCAGAAGCTACAGTTGGCAAGTGCTGATTCATAAGGCCCTCAGCTATACACGCACATGCTTCTGTGCCAAGGCTGGGTACACACGAACATGCAGGCACACACAGCCCACTCCTGGGCAGCTCCTCCCTGTTTAGCTTCCAGTCTGTGGGCTGCTGGACCATGCTCTGCACTCCATAAAGATCTATCTCCCTCACCCACCTCTGCAACTCTCTTAGTCAGGACTAAGATGAAGGAGGCAGCCCTGGACCCTGTTTTGAGGGTACTGACGGAGGATCAAGAGGTAAAACGCAAGACACCCAGTCAAATCTGAATTTCTGATAAACAACACATTTATTTTCATTTTCATTTGCTAAAGCCAGAGATGTTGTTACTGATGGTGCAAGTGTACAGCTCTCTCTTGCCTTTCCTCCCCTGAAGCTGCAGGTGAGGGTGGGAATGGCATGGCAACACTCTGACATCAGTAGGATTGCTAGTACTCCCGTTGATAGATGAAGCAGCTGAGGCCTAGGGCTTGCCTGAGGACACACAGCTAAAAAGTTCTGTCTCAGACCAAGGCTTGGACGCCAAAGTCAGTATCCTCTGGAGATAGGCAATAGAGTCCAGGGGTGACAATGAGCTAGTGAGCACTCATATCCAAGTTCCTGTTTTCAGTCCAAAACCTGGTACTCTTTCTCTCCTGGCCTGGTTTTGTGTGGTAGCCACCTCACACCCGAGGCTGTCTTGGCCCCAGTGCCCACATTCAGGTGAGAACTGCACACAGACCCTTCCTCCTTAGTATGTGTTCATATTTCCAGTGGCCTTTCCCAGACATTTCAGTGTGGGTTGTCACATACAGAGAAGAAACAGGTTGTCCATCACTAAAGAAAACACAGCCACTAGAGTCTTAGCACCTAGTTTTTGGAAAGGGCTGCCTGGAGATGGTAAGATGAGGTAAAAGACCAAAACAGTTCCTAAAGTACACCAACAATATCTCCTTACCCAGACCAATCAGGCTGATGAATATTGAATTCCGAGTCATGGGCACTGACCTTAGACTAGCTGAGAAGAATGTCTTGGTAATGGGAAGATTTGAGACTGGGATAGATGAAGGCATAAAATGGGGGCATGGGTGAGGGAGGATGAGCAAATGCGTGAACAATTAGATGGACGGATGGATGGGGAGATTGGTGGCTAGATGGGTAGGTGGGCTGATGCATGGGGAAGGAGTGAGCTTGCAAACTTTAATGAGACCACTAAGTATCTGAAATTCCTCCAGGGAGTGTGGGTCTTTTCTATTGTGTTCAGTGAAAGGTTTTAAAGACAGACAGGCGGTGGTGGCACACGCCTTTAATCTCAGCACTTGGGAGGCAGAACCAGGTGGATCACTGTGAGTTCGAGGTAGCCTGGTCTACAAAGCAAGTTCCAGGAAAGGCGCAAAGCTACACAGAGAAACCCTGTCTCAAAAAACTAAAAAAAAAAAAAAAAAAAAAAAAAAAAAAAAAAAAAAAAAAAAAAAAAAAAAAAAAAAAAAAAAAAATTAAAAAAAATTAAAAAAAAAAAAAAGGTTTTAAAGACAGAGAGGGCTGTAGGAACCAGATAGATAGAGAAACGTAAACAGACAGAAAGACAGACAAATGTGTAGAAATGCCGCAGCGTGGCCTTCTTAACTCAGTGGCTCTGTCCAAGGTTCCTGAGCATCCCTGGCTGTTACAGTAGCACAGAGAAGGCCATGGGGACACTAGATTTTCATCTGTATGATTTACTGGCTGTGGGTGGTATGGAGCTCACGACAATCAGTTATTTGTCATGTTCTGCATCCAGGAGGCTGGGACAAGGGTGAGTCAGGAGGGTGAAGTCACTATAGTCTGAGTCTGCAGCAGCTGGTGGGTCCCCTCCAACACCTTCTGTACCCCCGCCCCCAGCCCCAGGATGGTCACCACGGCTCCACACCCAAAACACCACATCCTCAAACTGAGACACAGAGAGTACTCCCACAATGCCCACACATGCCTGCAGGAAAGCTAGACTTCTGCTTGGAGCCTCATTTTCTACTCTCTAAGCCTGATCTTCACCATAATGGTGACACCGATGGGATAGGGGAGGCTGTGCGAGGATCACGGCCATGTCCTTTAAAAGATACTTGGGCCACCTCTGCCTGCTCCTCCCTACCTTCACCCCATTACAGTATGCAAGAACTCACAGCCATGGGCAATAAGGTGGTGACCATAAATGGGTCTGGAAAGAGGAGACACTAATCCCCAAAGAGGAAGGTGAATCATCAAAGGAAGCCAAGAGAGCAGATACAAAATCTATCCCACCTCACTAGAGACTGCCTCACCCCTTAGGGGACAGACCCTTTACTGAAAACTACTACACACAAACAGGTCTTTGTATATATGAGAACATGCTTTGAGGTTAGAAGTAAGAAAATGGTCAGGGTTTGAGGCAATATACTAAGGAAATTACTAAGGGAGACATTGATGAGCTGAGGAGCTTGTGATTTGTGACTCCAACACAGACAAGAGACGTGATGTGATGTGATGTGATGTCACCACATACAGGTGACCCTTGCAGCTGCTGCCTCTCCATCCAGACTGGGCATCCAGAGTCAAGCCCACACTCATTGGTACCATAATCTCTCTAAAAAATAAAGCACTTGTAGATGGTGTCAGATACTTCTATATAATAAAAGGATTTGTGGGCCAAAGGGACCCCAGAGGGATTGATAAGCCAATCTTTGGACACAGATAATTGTCCCTACTTTGTGTCTTGCAGACAAAGTCCGTTTCTCCCCTGAACTCCCACAGTGCTTGCTTCTGGCCTCTTTGAGGGCTTAATGAGCTGCATGCCCACTTGATTGCTTCTCCATAACTCCAGCTATTTATCAATACTAATGCTTATTGATGATTTTCTAAACACCCAGCACCACGTTCTTTACAAGTACTAGCTCATGCAATGCCCTGACAATCATTTAATATTTGTATTATAATCACTATCATTTTTCAGATGAGATATATGAGTAATAAGAGAAGGGTAGACAGGGTAGAGCAGGCTCCCATCTGAGTGCTGCAAAAATTAGGGATGAACTTCATTGTCTCTTACTCCAATATTAGCTCCTGTGAGTGCCACCCAGTGAATACTTGATAAATGATAAGCAAATGGAAGAAAAAGGAGAGAGGGAACAAACTTTTCTGACTTTGTGGCACTATTACAAAGGATGCAGCCATGTCACAAACTAAAGACAAACAATACATGAAGCCGATGAAAATAACCATTAACGGTTGACAAGGGCTCCATTTACTGCACATGGCAAGTCTACTCTATGAATGCCATCACCTTTAATTGTGGATTAAAGGTGGCTTCCATGATTCCCGAGGCACAGCTGAGGAATGGAAGCTCACACTCCTTGATTTGTACAGGGTTTTCCCTGGAGAGAGACAAGAATAAAGGGCCTGGCCCCACAGCTGACCTAAACCACTGGGAAGTCACTACCTTGGAACCTGGAGCCTTCAATACCCAGCTCCCTGTCACCTCACCCATGGATTATCCTAGTGGATTCTCTGTCTCTCTAGAACTTTCTACAAAACCCCAGCATGGAATTCTGCAGGCTTTCCAAGGCTCTTTCTACAGTGAGAAAGTCCAGAGCTTGCTCTCATGTATTTCACACTGAACTCTGAGCCTAGCATGGGGAAGGTACTTAGAAGGCACATGCTGATGGATCAAGCTGGTTGCCCATCAGTTGTCCAGTGAGATTGATAAGGATTGTGGAGGAACCCTTTCCAGAGCTTGATGGCTATCAGGTTTGATCAGCTTGTCTTCTCTGAATTCTAAGGGTAGGCACCCCATAATTACCATATCTAGCTTCTCCATCTCCCTCCAAGCAGCCATTGACAAGACAAGTAACAAACACCAGCTGACACCAGCAAAACACCCAAGAGGCATCAGCAGCAGAATGTCAAGGCAAACAAGAGGAAGCACCCTTCACCCCTGCTTACCTCCCTAGTCAGGTCTCATGCAAAGGACAGACTCT